TTTATCGATCTCGTCCAGGTTTGATAATTGTTCGAATTAAGTAACTGCAGTACAAGCAACACTCTTAAGTTTTTATTTGCTCTGATTTAGCATAAACTATTTGGATGAGATGGATCGAGAGTATTTCTACTTAATGACGTTGGATTTTGAACAAGAGTCGAGCTTACAGTTTGGTTTGAGTTTTTCTTCTTTATTATTACTTTGATACCATGTAAGGAATAAACAAGAAAGTTTTCATGCCAAGAAAATAAGAATTCAAACAGATCTTGGTGAAAAGAAGATGAAAAGACAAAGGAAAATGTGAGAAGTAGCTATTTGAGGAAACTCTATTCAAGGTTCTCCTTTTCCTTCTTCTTACCTATATTCCTAAGAAAAAACGTACTTATATGAGGTACATAAATAGGGTATATCTACATATTAGACAACACATTTATATTCTCCTTTCAAACTCTATCTCTACATACATCGTATACACAGGGGTTCCATTCAGGGCTCTCTGACTTATGGTAAGTCCCACTTGGGCTATCAGAATCCCCAAATTTTAACATTTGGTGTAATATAATTCTTGCTATATAAAGGGACATTGAACTCTTTTCTCAAAGCTATAGAAAAATTATATATTATTAGGTCAGGGCTAGAAATATTTTGATAAAATGGTGAAGATGTTTTGGAGTTAGTAAAAAGATTAAGGAATCGACAAAAATATTTTGATTAAGACATTTTCGAGGATCGTTGAGAGAGAAAAAAAGAGACTAAACAAACAAGGAGATCTAAAAGATGAGGTGAAAAAGAGGATTTTATAAAATATTGAGGGAGAGAGCAAGTTGATGATGATTGTTGTCGATGGTGGATTTAAAGGTTGATGGTGATGATGATACTTTGTTACATTTCAGGGTTGACTTGTGTGTATCATGTATTAATTTCCTGCTTCATTTTGTAAATTAGGTTATCGGATACTTTATTTAGAGCTAACCATGAATCTGGTTGCGCTTCTTTCAACCTTCATGCTCTTTACTGGAGTATTTTCAGAAAGTTGAGGCCTGCTATTGTTAGTGTGGGAGCTATATTCTCATTCAGTACTATTAATGGAAAAGTTTCAAAAATTGCCATGAAGGCTGCTCAAGATGATATAAATTCTGATCCAAGTTTTCTTGGTGGAACAAAATTGGCTATATAACCTTGAATGATTCCAATTACAGTGGATTTCGGAGTATCATGGGAGGTATAAAATATTTCGAAGTGTTTCCTCCCTGCCCCTCTTCCCTTGTCTGCTTTCTTAGTTATTCCTGAGTCTTTTTATTTATCTTGTTCCCTTTGATTGTCCAATTTAAAATGATATTGCTCACTCTTTATATTTTCACTGATTGCAGCATTACAGTTCATGAAGACTGATAGTGTAGCGATAATTGGCCCGCAGAGTGCTGTAATGGCTCATGTCCTCTCCCATCTTGCAAATGAATTCCATGTCCCTCTGTTGTCATTCACAGCTCTTGAACCGAGTCTATCGTCTCTCCAGTACCCTTACTTTGTTCAAACAGCACCAAATGATCTTATACCAGATGACAGCCATTGCAGAGATGGTAAGTTACTATGGTTGGGCTGATGTTGTCGCTGTTTTCAATGATGATGATCAGAGCCGAAATAGCATAATCACATTGGGTGATAAGCTGGCAGAGAGACGCTGCAAAATTTCATATAAAGCAGTTCTTCCTCCTGCTCCAGCAGTAACTCAAAGTCAGATCACAAGTGAGTTAGTTAAGATCCAACTGACGGAATCTCGGGTTATTGTTCTAAACACAGTCTCTGAAGCAGGTCTGATGATTTTTGACATTGGCAAAAGACTTGGAATGCTGCAGGATGGGTATATTTGGATAGCTACTACTTGGTTGTCACTAGATTCAAATTCACCACTTCATTCAGACACTGCAAGCTCTATCCAAGGAGCTCTCACACTTCGACCACACACACCTGATTCAAAAAGGAAAAGATATTTTATGGAACGGTGGAGCAAGCTGAGTAATGGCTCCATTGGGTTCAACCCTTATGGTCTGTATGCCTATGATACTGTCTGGTTGATTGCAAGAGCCATAAAATTGCTTTTAGATCAAGGACAAACCATTTCATTCTCCAATGACACAAAATTAAGCAACCTAGGACAAGGAACAATTAACTTTGCTGCATTGAGCATATTTGATGGAGGGCAGGAGCTACTTCATAAGATTTTGCAGACTAATATGACTGGTCTTACGGGTCCAATTCAATTTAATTCAGATAGATCTCTGATTAATCCTTCATATGATATTATTAATGTACTTGAAACTGGGTATAAGCAGATTGGATACTGGTCTATTCATTCTGGGCTATATGAAAAGCCACCTAATAGATCCACTTCAAACAAACATTTGTACAGTGTGGTATGGCCTGGAGGAGTGACAAGGAAACCTCGTGGATGGGTTTTTCGACGCAATGGAAAACAATTAAGAATTGGAGTGCCAGATCGAGTTAGTTATCGGGACTTTGTTTCAAGAGCCAATGGTACCAATATTATTCGTGGATATTGTATAGATATATTCCTTTCTGCCATAAGATTACTTGAATATGCAGCTCCATATGAGTTCATTCCATTTGGGGATGGTCATAAGAATCCTAACTATTATGAACTTGTTAATGGTCTAACTTCTGAGGTGAGTAAAGTTAAAATATATTAATTTACAATGGATAACTGATGAGCAATTGATTTATACCATTTATGTGCCTTTTTTTGTAGGTATTTGATGCTGTTATAGGTGACATTGCTATCGTCACAGATCGAACAAAGATAGTAGATTTCACTCAGCCATATATAGAATCAGGGCTTGTTGTGGTGGCCCGAGTCAGGAAGTTGAACTCAAATGCTTGATTATTCTCGCGCCCATTGACTGCACCCATGTGGGCAGTTACAGCGGCTTTTTTCTTTATTATTGGAGCAGTTGTGCGGATACTTGAGCACAGAATGAACGACGAATTCCGGGGATCTCCTAAGCAACAAATCATCACAATTCTGTGGTGAGTCCATACTTTACTAATTGAACAATAGATCTTTTATTCACTTCTCTTGAATTACCAAATGAGTAAAAAAATTATCTAGTTGAAGGATCAGTTCTAGAGGCAAGGCATCAATATAAGAAGAAATGTAAAATTCACTTAGTTTAGGACAATAATTGATAGCTTATAATATCAACTAATAGATTTAACTTTTTCCTACATAGCTTCTTGGAGAATTAGTCATCCAATACTATCATTTCATATTATTTAAGAGACATATGTGTTGGTTAAAACCTTCATCCGCTGTGCTGCCCTCTTATTATTATTATCGCTATTCTTTGCCTGCTATTGGAACTTCAATCATGCATGTTAGCCTGTCCATAATCTCCTTTCAGACTTGCACGTCCCTATCGTTTCCTGTTGGGGTCTTAATGCCTCTCTCATATATGTGAAGGGGTGATATAAAATAATAAGTTGAGCAATTTCCTCTGTAACATTGAGATATCAGTCATGTATCTCTTATTTCACAGTTGTCATATTCTTACAAGTTCAGAGATAATCGAAACTCTCTGATTCTCTGTGGTAATTTTTTATTGTTTTATCACATTCTAATATTTTACATGATTGGATGGACCCATTTGAAAACAACTAGATGATGACATGATTATCAAAGATTGACATTTCTTATTTCTATTCAACAATGTCAAAATAGTTCTATGATTTTTGCGAAGTGATTGTGGAGTCATTTCTTTGGAATAAATGGAATAAACTTGATTGATGCTATTTGACCCGTTACCGAATATCAATCTTGATCCATTTTCTAATATAGAAAATATAGCATTAATATTTTACTTGAGTCAGTTCTTGATAAATCTCGAAACAGACTATTTGTATTACTTAAATAAACAAAAGTATACACCTCTTCGATAGAAGAAATTTTTTTGTTTTGATCCAATAAGACTAAACAGGTTTGAACTAATTGAATAGTTGTTTCAAAAAATTTTTGACCTAATTTGCTTATTTCCATAATGGATGTAATCCTTTTCTGGAAGTAAATGTGAATAAATTATATGTAATTAAGAGAGAATTAAGTTAAAGGACATTTGAGTAAAATACACTATATATAATTAGTTGTTTGTTTTATTTTCTATTATAAAAAACATATATATATAGGGTAATGATATTCGGTAAATGATACATTCAACTTTTCTCAACATGGTGTCACAATGCAAGGTTAAAATAAGCTGTGCAGATTCCTCCAGCCACGCATCCAGTTTCTGTCCACACAGCACAACTATTGATCCCTTACTCTGTCCAGAACCCGCACGCCACCTTTATTCAGCCGAGCACCGCTCTCCTACTCAATGCTCCTGTAAAGGGTTAAAAAGAAAAAAATACTGAATAATTATTATGTTTTTATTGAAATGAAAGTTGCGATACATATACATGTAGACAAATTCATATATGGTAACAACAAAAATTATCTTAATTATTTTCTTCCTAATTACGCTTATATATTTGAAAAGATAATCATATTATTATGTATATGGAATATTTTATAATATTCTAACACTCCCCCTCAAGTTGGAGTATAAATATTAGTCATGTCCAACTTATTCAAAAAATACTCAATTCGTGTTCCATTCAAAGATTTTGTGAATATATCAACAAGTTGTTCTCTTGTCTTTACATAGCCAATAGATATAAAGTTTTCATGAATTTTTTCTCGGATGAAGTGACAATCAATTTCGATATATTTGGTTCTCTCACGATACACAGAATTTGAGATAATATGAAGGAAAACCTGATTATCGCACCAAAGTTTTGCAGGAGATGTGGGCTTCAAGTCCACTTCATCTAACAAATGATGTATGCATAAGATTTCACATGTGGACTGTGGCATAACTCTATATTCGGACTCTACACTTGAGTGAGATACAACTATTTGTTTCTTATTTTTCCATAATATGAGATTCCCACTAACAAAAAATACAATAAAGCGTAGTAGACCTCCTATCAATCTTAAATCCAGCCCAATCAGCATTTGTAAAACATTTAATGTGAGAATGACCATAAATTTTAAACACTATGTCAAGTCCTAAGGCACCTTTTAAATAACACAAAATCTGTTCCAAAGTCTCTCAATGTTTTATTGTAGGTGCCAACATAAATTAACTAACAATACTGACGGGGCATAATATTTGGACGGGTCACAGTAAGATAATTTGATTTCCCAACTAGTTGCTTGTATTTCTCTGGGTCATCAAGGGGATCACCATCATGGTTTGTAAGATGTACATTTGGTACTATTAGTGTATTACATGACTTAGCTCCTAGCTTTCCTGTTTCTGCAAGTAGATTAAGTACATTCTTTCTCTAAGATAACAGAATCTCTTCCTTATTTCTTGTTATTTCAACCCCTAAAAAGTATTTTAATTATTATGTGCGTGGTTTGACAAGTTTAGCGAGGTAGTATGTGAGTTCGTATTGAAAAAGAGTAAGTATGATCATTCAGTCTTCTATAGACAATCAACAGCTGGTATTATAATTCTTATTATTTATATTGATGATATTGTGATTACAGAAGATAATCATGCAAAAATGTATCATAATAATTCACCCCATAAATCTGAGCATAGTTGTTCGCTACTAGTCGAGTTTTATGTCTTGTCACAGAATCATGTGGATTCACTTTGATTGTAAATATTCATTTGCATTCTACAACCTTTTTTTCTTTGGGTAAATCTACCAGATTCCAGATGTAATTATCATCAAGAGCATTTATCTCCTCAAGCATAGTATTACGCCAATCAGAGTGATTCAAAGTCTCCTTAACTGTGTTGGGTATAGAAGTTGAATACATAAAAGTAATTAAAACATTCGACGAAAGAGAAAGATGGTCATATGATATAAAATTAGCAATGAGATAAGTTGGCGTAAGGATGGTGCACTGACATTTATCTTTATGGAAACCAATAGAAAGATCAAGATCCTGTGAGGTAGAATCAGATGATGAAGGATCTGGTGTAGGACATGTATCATTAGTTTGTTCTTTTTTGGAATAAACATGGACAATTGGCAGTGCTACTTGGGTCAGAGGCACACGAACACTATCATCAACTTGCTCAAGTGGAGCTGGAGGCATATCATCTAGAGGAACACTTTTATCTGTTTGTTCAGTAAAGGTACCTGATGTAAAACTACAGATGAGTCACTCGTCGTCCACCTCCTGACTTGTAAACTTGGATAATGAGGAGAAGAACGATATATTATTTGAAAAAATCATATCAATTGATACCAAATACTTATTGAGATCGGGAGAGTAGTACCTGTATCCTTTGTAGAGGTGAGAATATCTCAAAAATACACACTTCAAGACTTTTGGGTCCAATTTTGTCATAATAAGTTACACATCTCGAATATAACAGGTGCTACTAAATATCTTAACTTGCACCAGAAATAAAGATTTGTTTGGAAAAAGAAGACTATAAGGAACATCTCCATCAAACACTGTAGATGTCATAAGATTAATTAAAAAACAAGCTGCAGAAACGATATCAGCCCAGAATTGCTTAGAGACTTGTGTTTCGAACAAGAGGGCTCAAGCAAATGTCCGTTTTTTCTCTCAGCGTCCTCATTTTGAGATGGTGTATCAACACTCTCGTGTTGTGTCATATAGTTCTAAAATGAATCTGACATATATTTTATGGCATTATCACTCCTTAATACATGTACTGAAATATTGAATTGTGTATTGACTTCATCACAGAAAGCACAAACGTAAAAAAGTACTTGCGAACGATTCTTCATAAAATATATCCAAATCATTCAAGAAAAATAATCCATAAAAGTAACGAAATACTTAAACTTAGTTTTTAACGGAATAGGACAGAAACTTGAAACATCAAAATGAATTAATTTAAAGGCAAAATAAGCTCGTCTATTGACCATTGGAACTGATGGATTACGATGATACTTTGCAAACCGACATGACTCACAATCCAGTGAGGGTACATTATAAAACTGGGGACATAGTTTCTTCAACATAAGTAGAGATGGATGTCCCAATTGACAATGTGCTTCAAGTGGAGAGATAATATTAGAGCAGACAACTAATCGAGATTCCCAAGTATCAAGAATGTAGAGACTACTTGGTATATTTCCTTTATCAATAATCTGTTTCGTTATAAGATCTCGAAAAACACAGTGATTAGGAAAAAATCAATTCAAATCTTTAGTAAACTTACTTACAGAGATCAAATTGAAGGCGAGTTTAGGTAAACTTAATACAAATGACAGAGTAATAGATGATGTTAGTTTTGTGGTTCCCGAACTCACAATATTATATGTCAACCCATCAGCAATAATTACAAAAAAATATGTTTTGTATAATCGAAAACTAAAAAAAATATTAGAATTACCTGTCATGTAATCTGTAGTAATAGAATCAATCACCCATCTGTTTGAGGAGGAGATAAGATATTTTTCTTCTGATTTAGGAAAAGCAAAACTTTATTTAAATATTTTCGATATTGAGTGAATTTAGCATATTTATCAGCTAAAATCATAACAATTCTCTCAAATGATGAGCTAATAGTAGCATTAACAATATTAGCGGTTTGTGTCATTCAATTAAGATTCTGCGATTTCTTACGATATCGTTTTATATGCTCTTGTTCACTGCAGTAATAACAGACTATATTATCCTTCATTTTAATTCAAGAATTAAAAATATGCCGTTTAAAATATCCAAAACTCAACAGTTAAAAATACTCAGAAAACACTGCAAATATACCAGAAATTATGATAAAATAGCGTATCTCTTCACGCACGGCTGTCAACAATCCTATTAGAATCTCACTTCCAACCACCGGAGCTCACGTGTCACCGCACGCGCCGCCACTGGAGTTCACACACCGCCATTGAGATGCCACACGCCGTTGCCGGAAATCATCAAAATGCCTCATTTCAGCCAAAAATCACTACAGACCCCACCAGACATCCGAAATCTAGAAGGGGCTCGCCAAAACACCTCGAATCACATTGGAAAACCCCAAAAAAACTTGTTGCGTGATCTGCTTCACGGTGGTTTTCTCTTCTCCGACCTTCTGGTTTCGTTCACAAAATCGGCTGGCCAAACTCCTTGATAGCTTCTGTCCTCGAACGGGAAAGCAAAATGCACAAAAATACCCTCCAACAAACTCGATGAATACAGTCTCAAACCACCGCGCAAACCTCCGTCTCGGCTTCACCTGCATACACCACTGTATTGGCCGCACTCTGAACTGGCCGAAGATCGCTGATCGACTTCCTCCGGCACCGGAAATGGATTGTTCAACTTTTATTTTGGTCTGATATAATATGATCCCTAAAACTCTAACTCTAATCCTAACTCTGATATTATGTAAAGAGTTAAGAGGGAAAAAATACTGAATAATTCTTATGTTTTTATTGAAATGAAAGTTGCGATATATATACATGTAAATGGATTCATATATGATAACCAATATAAATTACTCTAATTATTTTCTTGTTAATTACGTTTATATATTTAGAAAAATAATCATATTATTATATATAGGGAATATTTTATAATATTCTAACAGCTCTAAATTTAGGTACTTTGTCTAGGCCCTCACAGCCGCAGGCACCTATCTCTAGTGCCTTCACCAGTTGTAAGTCAGCCTATATCTGCATGCAACACAACCGTGCACTGTAAAGTCCTGCGCCACTCTACTCCAGCAGCCACTGCTCTCTATGGCAGCATTGCACATCCAGCTGGGAATCTGCCACTACTACCTGCTCCAGCCACTCAGACACCTTGCTTCGTTATACTGCATCACCAATCACCAGCTACGGCGGTTCCTTTGTGGCCATTGTCCTTGTTGTCCAGCCACAACAATCACTACATTTCACCTATTGAACCAGTCTTAATTGCCTAATTTTTCTTGGTCATGTCAAAAGAAATCACTGGCGCTAGTTTCGACATGTCAACTTCAGATTTTAATAAATTCAAACTAGAGATTGAAAAATTAAGAACTATAATTGAGTCCTTAGAGAAATTCACAGGTATTGAATTACTCGCACAACTCAGGTACATTTTCTATTTCACATGGACTAAATACTTCATGTGGACTAAATGCTTCACATGGGCTAAATGTCTCATATAGACCCTCTGCATTGTCCTCAATTATAAACTTGGGAGCCATAGATCACATGACCAACTCCTTTAAATAACTTTAAAACCTATGTCCCATGTTCCAATAGGAAGAAAATAGTTATTGCCGATGGTTCCCTGACCATTGTTGCAGGAGTTGGAAATATAAAGGTTAATCCTCACTTTGTACTTACTAAGGTTTTTCATGTTTTCAAGTTATGAACAAATGAGCTCTAAATAGGAGATGCATCTTTTTTTAAAAATAAAAAGTATAAAGTGTATCATTAATTACATGCACCAAAGAGATGCCAACACATATATAAGATTATTTACATATCAACCAATATATCAATAAGGTCTCATAAATTCTCCATGGAGTATAAGAGTTTACTCATAACAAAGAACTCAGAGTATGGAAGCATCTAATTCTAACCTTATCGAGATCCTGTTCCACCCCATCAAATGCTCTTCTTTTTTTTTCTTTTCATACCATCCAAAAGATTATAAGTGAAATGAAACCCAAATATTTTTTTCCATCGCTAGTATCCTTCCATAACTAAATCTCATACCTTATAATACCAGTCGTTATCTAACTAATCCTCAGTAGTCCATATACCATAGACTATAGGTGGTAGGGTAATTCTGATTCAGGCATATCTTTTCAGTATACCACTCTAGTTCCTATCTTTTATAAGGTCACTGGGAGGCAGCTGAGAGATTGGAGGGGTGCATGAGAAGGTTCATATGGTCTGCGGTTGGGAAAGAGAATCGGGATTTTCTGTTAGCTGGGAAAGGTGTCTTCAATCCAAGTGTTCAAGGGGATTGGAGATTGGAAATCGGGAATCTTAGATCAAATTTTTTTTATCATTTTGACTAAATGGTTTTGGTGCTTTTCATGGATCTGCATATTTCATGGTACATGGTCATAAACAGTATCTACAGGAGTGGAAGGGACAAATGGGATGTCAAAGTATGTTCATCCCACAGATCCTATTTATGAAGCACTCAGATTCAGAGAGAAGTACAATTCACCTAATATATGTTGATGATGTCTCTGAAATAGGGGACAAATTAGAAAAGAAAAATTGAGACTCAAACAACACCTCACAGAAGAGTTTGAGATCATGGAGTTAGAAAATTTGAAGTATTTCATTCAAATTAAAGTTGACCACTCAAAATCAGGAATCTTCATCTCACAGTAGAAGTACATCAATGACATATTAAGGGATACTGACAAGCCAACATGTAAATCAGCTAATACTCCAATTGATGACAATCATAAATTGGGACTAGTAAAAGAGGATACACCAATAATAAGAGAATATATTAGATATTTGTTGGAAGATTAATGTACCTATCATACACAAGAGCAGATATTGCCTACGCAGTGAGTGCGATAAGTTACTTGTACTTGCTTCCTTCTCTACTAATATTGAGAAAATATAAAAGTCAACGTGTTTTTACATGTTAACTCACGCAACAAAACTAGATTGCAAATCTTTATATGGATATATAATCAGGTCTCTCTTTCTCACTCTTGAGCACTTTCTTTTGAGAGGACACAATTTATGAGAGGCACCAATAAGGTGCCCTCTAAAACAAGATATACAGCATTCACAAGTTTCTCAAAGACAACATATCAAAAAGGTCAACAATATCAGCCTATCTTTGATGAGATGACTTTTCCCAAGAAGCAAGGAGTCCCCAACCAATGATTCCTTACTGTGGCATAAGGGGAAGAATTGTCTAAGACTCACTCTTCAATGCTTGTACGCCCACATTGCCCATATATTATGAGCACATTCCTCAGGTAGAACTGATGGACATTTGTTGTATCATGTTTAAAATTCAGAAAAGCTCTAATATTTGCTAGAATTTAGAGCATATTTTTCCTAAATAGGTCTTCTCCTATATAGTTAGTTTCTAGTTTATAGCTTTTCCTTTTCTTCACATAGGGATCCCTATAAATACCATGTACATTTTGTTTCCAGCTTATAATACGGTTTAAGTATTTCCTTCAACAATATGTAATCAAGAAGCCTCTTTTTGATAATAAAGGTTAAGTATTTCCAACTTATAATACAGTTTTAAGTATTTCCTTCAACAATATGTAACTAAAAAGCCTCCTTTTGATAAACCACCAACTTATTGCAGAGACAAGGTGCGTGTGTTTTGTTTAGGGGGTGGGGAAGGTGTTATTTGCTTTTCAACGACAATTCCTTTTCATCATAATTACTGATTGGGGTCCCTTGCCCTTTTCCACTTTGTCAACCTGCACGTTTAGCTTTTCTACAATGTTTTTCTCTCACAGTAAGTTTCTTCGCACTTGAAAATTTTCGTTGTCTTGTAACCAATTCAGCCAATTTTTTTTTTTTTTAAATAACTAACCAATTCAGCTAATAATACCAACTCTTGAGTCCTTCAAACTTTCAGGAGAAAATACAGTGAGCACACTTGGTCGTATCGTGCTGATCATTTGGCTTTTTGTGGTTCTGATTATTAACTCAAGCTATACTGCAAGCCTGACATATATTCTCACAGTTCAACAGCTTTCGTCACCCATTAAAGGAATTGACACATTGATAACTAGCACTGAACGTATTGGCTTCCAGATAGGGTCTTTTGCGGAAAATTATATGACTGAGGAGCTAAACATTCCCAAAGAAAGACTTGTTGCCCTTGGCTCACCAGAAGAATATGCTACTGCTCTTGAGAATGGAACTGTTGCTGCAGTGGTTGATGAACAGCCTTATGTGGAGCTCTTTCTATCCGATCACTGTGGTTTCTCTATTAGAGGCCAAGAATTTACTAAAAGCAGTTGGGGATTTGTGAGTATCTCAATATTTAGTTGGATAAGTTAGAGTTCTCATCTGTACATTTCTTATAATTAATTAATTCTCCAGCAATTTGTATGGACTTCATATGTTCCTCTAGGTATTCTATTTTCCATGATTTTAGGCATCTTTTTTTCTTGAAGAGAGAATTCAAAAACTGGCCTGTCAAAATGAAGCAAATATACATAGCAATAACCTCAGGTCACATTTGGTAATTTGGGTACGGCTGGGTAAGAAAGGTGGTGTAGAATAGTGTCTGGTAAGCTAAATGTTCGCATAGTTTTTGAGTGAAATTGGATAGTGATTCAAATAGATCATAATGTCTTTGATCTAACATAACAATATTTTAGTTTAAAAATATAATAATGTAATAGTTTAAGAATTCTTTCTTACTTTCGTAATTATTTTAAAAAATTATTATTATATAAAAAAATTAAAGAGAAACACAATCACAGTTGTCTTACTTCCATGTGACCGCCAAAACCTTGCCAGTTGTGTGGCCAATAGTGGCTGCTCAGTGCAACCAGCAAGGAGTATGTAACTAGACTGTGCAACTGGTGCTGGTTGCATGACCGGTGTTGGTTGTTCCAGGTTATAGTCACGAGAAACTTCTAGTTCTTCTCAAGTTTAGCAATTGTTGATTAAAAAAAGCAAATTGGAAATTATTGAAATTTTGTGAAAATTTTGGAAAAAGTAAGATGCAAGTGTTGTAAGAATTATAAAGACTACTTGTCTTTGATCTTATACAGTACTGCATAACATGAACAGGACAAAAACTGCAAAAGAACATATATTTTCCAACATACGCTAACTTAAGATTCAGTTCAAAGATATAAGGCTTTCAGAACTTTATTGTAAATAGACCTTCTATGTGCACGTTGGTTATTTTGGGGCAATGGGAAGCTTTTGCTGTCTCCCTTACAAGAAAAACCTCTTCAAACATTAATTATCTTGGAGTTGATTGATATCGAACTCATGTTAATTGCTTGAGTTGAAGATTTTATCAAGCTTATCCATGATTTTTTCTTTTTAAATTTACTTTATGTCTTATACATATCACAATTTCTCAAAGGATGTGATTTTGTGAGCCTATTAATCTATTTTATTTTACTTCTTTTAGACCTTTCCAAGAGACTCTCCTTTAGCGGTTGATACGTCAACTGCCATTCTCACTCTATCTGAGAATGGTGATCTTCAGAGGATCCATGACCAGTGGCTGTCCAAAAAGGCCTGTAATTCCGAGAGCTCAGATTCTGAGTTAGATCAGTTTGTTTTAAAGCTTCTGGGGTTTATTTCTCATCTTTGGAATTGCGTGTTTTGTCTCTCTCCTTATATACTTTTGCATGATGTTGAGACAATTCAGCCGACATGTACCTGAAGAACCTGACTCTTCACGTGGCATCTCCCGTTCTGCCCGACTCCAGGCATTTTTATCATTTGTTTTAAAAAAGTGATGAATCAAAAAACAAGTTAAAGAGAAAGCACAGGGAGATGTCATCAAGCGGTTATGGGAAAGAAGAGGATTAGGATGAAACTTGACTCCCTTAAAACAGTCTGGTTGCAGCTAGTTTGATCCAAGTAGCATCAATCTCAGGTAGGTTTGATGGGAACGAAGATACATATTTGATATTGCTATAGAGCATTAGGATGAAACTTGACTCCCTTAAAACAGTCTGGTTGCAGCTAGTTTGATCCAAGTAGCATCAATCTCAGGTAGGTTTGATGAGCTTCTATTGGTGTAACTCTCACCAGTATTCCCTTCTTCTGAATTGCAATGGTGTATTCGAAAAAAAAATTATATAATATTTCTATTGATTATAATAGATCATGAGGTTGTGTGTTAAAGAAGTTACTCTCCTAATCCCATTCTGCCTAGTTTCAGATTTTTGGATGGTATTTCATGGAATATGGAGAGAAGGTAGTTTTCAACTGAGCAATGTATTTGGAGTTAAAGACAAAGTGAAAATTGGATTTCAGTATTCAAAATCCAATTTTTATTTCCATTTAGACCAACATAATATGGATGGATCTCTCAAAGGATCTCCATGATAGGTTTGCACAGTGTGATTTGATTAGAATTTCAGACTTAATATGATGAGATTTCTTCTTTGATGTAAGAAACTTTATCGGTTAAAAAAGTATTTCACTCAAATAAAGTATCTTATGAGATGATTTATCAAACTTAAAACCAGTGCCTAGTTGTCAATGTCCAATTAAGTGCACATGTCATGGTGGTATTATACATAGAAAATATCAGGAAGAGGATTGCATTATTAGATTTTAAAAAAGACCAAATGAGTTTTTCGTATTGTGAAATCTCATATTCTTATATTAGGTCCTCTACCTCCTTTAAATAAGGTGTTTCCATTGGTTTTCCAACATGAAATGAGCATAATTGTTGGAGCTCCAAGAACACAATATGGGACCAATATCTTATATGCAAGTAAGACTATTAGTCCACAGCAGAAAACTACAAATGTATATACTCCTGAACATAATAGAAACAATTCTGGAGAAAATAATAAAGACCAACATGTACACATTGCGGGTTTGTTGGCCATAATATTGACAAATGTTACACAAAGCATGGCTATCCTCCAGGTTATATGCCTAGGCAGAGGAATGTCTCCAGTATTTATTAAACAAATATTCAGGCTACAGAGTCAGATTCAGATGTAACAGAAACTTGGGTGAAGCTTAATTCTCAGTACAATATTTTAGAGGAATTGCCTCTTTCACTCACGAGAGATCAATATCAGAAACTCTTAGCCATACTACAACCTTCAGGTCCTGCAGCCCAATTATAAATATAATCCTACAATTACACAAAATTACACAAAAATAAATATAACAATTATTATAACATACATCACAAGTTCACAACCTTAATTTTCTTATATAAAGTCAATCTAATGTAATAATCATTTCACTTGCATCATTGAGTTCTATATTGATTCATTCTAAATGTTTTAAAATAAAAATGGAGTAAAAAAATAAACAAAATAGTACATATAATTTAAATGAATATATGATAGTACCTTGATTGAGTTCATCAAGATATTGGACATATTGATCTTTGTTTATATATACTTTAGGTTTAGCCTGAAGCCAATCTTATATGTAAGTTAAAGCTTCTGCAATATATATTCTGGAGAGAAAAAACGAAGGAAAAGTAAGAAGCAAATGATGGCATTTTTATGCTTTCATACTAAAAAGTGGATTAAAAAAATGTGTTCATTCTCAAAAGAACTCGTCAATTGATCAAGTGGTCATCCTCGAATATTAGATGCTAATTCAGAAGCCTAAAATAGATATTTGTATTTTCAACAATGGTGCATAACTAATAAAAGGATATGAAATCTAGTGCAATTGATCTTCCACTACAAGAGTATATCACAAATCGTTCAAAAGTTTTATTCTCGTTTTTTCTACCATGGGCAATGAAAGGAGATTATTTTGATGTTACACTTTATTGATAAAAATGGATGAGATTTATGAGTTAGACTGTAATAGTCAGGCCCAAGGGAAAGGAGAAATTCAGGCTAAGCTAAAAAAAAAAAAGAGGAAAAAAATAACCCAACATAAATGAGAAGAAGAGCGGTGGAGTGAAGGAGAGAAAGTTTTAGTTGAGAGAGGGAAAAAGAGAGAAGAAGAAAAAGAAGATGAAAAAGAAGAGAATGAGAGGAAGAAGAAGGAAAAATAGAAAAAGAAGAAGAAGAAGAAAAAAAAAAAGAAGAAAAGCGACCTGGGCATGGTGTCGGGCAGAATCTGGTCAAGGAGTGAGATCCGTGTGAGGAGAGATATCTGTGCAGAGAGGAAAAAGGGAGAGAGGGAGGGAGCTGCGTGCGGTGGTGAGAGTTGGAGAAAAAGATCATAGCGCAGTAGCCAATAGCACGACTTTGCCGATCCGTAGCGTTTTCGGCATGGTTTCACCAAATTCGTGTCAGATCTATGCGCACGAGCGGTTTACAGAGACTTCTAGTTAGTTTGCTGCGAACGAAAATGTTGACGTGGCGCGTGGTGGTCTAGCAAGTGGTGCATGTTTAGCACGTGGTGACGTGTAGAGGCACGTGCAAAACACGTGGTGGCGTATGACAATTCCAGTGATGCGCATGTGGTTGCGTGTGGTGACTCCAGCGACCAAAATTGCATGTCAAAGGTAAAAAAAATCTATCTGCTTCTGTACTATATCTATTTTCAAAAAGTGTTCATCGTTTGACGCATGTATTTTCTATTGTAAACGAGAAAACTAATCAAGCAGTAGCTAAGATTTAGAAAAGAGCGTAGAACTAAATCAATAAGGATTTCGACACATTTTCCGACCAGACTATAGGTAAGGGATTGGGTTAGTCTCATTTCAGAGACCCTTATATTTTATAAAATTTTATTTTATTTAAAATAAGTTATGTACAGACCTTGCAACTTGTTTAATATGTTTCCCATAAACTCATCATGTGTATGAATGTTATCTTGTGTGCATTTTGAACGGATGAACATTGTTAAATTGTATGTATATCTGATATACTTATATAAGTCATGTATAGATAATTTAACTTTACAATATAAAATGAAAACATGTATACACTAAAACTATGAAAGTGTAAATCTGTGCGAAAATAGATACAGTGTGTGGTTTATATACATGATTACGTTACATAATAGTGTATAGGTATTAACTATAAGTATTTACATTGCTTGCTATATATGTTAAACGTGTGTTTGATATATATATGTATTTTTTTTCATGTGTATGTATATGTTATAGGTGTATGAATACATGTATGAACTATACGAAAAGTTTGTATGCAAACAGAATATTTAAATAGATGTATATAACAATATATATGTGTGTGTGAGTTGGTAGGTAAATGTGATGATTATGTTTTGATGATTATATATGGTGAACTCTACTATGGATATGACAAATATTTATGGCGCTCACCTAGGTTGAAGGGTGAGGACGACCAGTGTTTTATGACACCCATATAGGTTGAGGTATAGGGACAGTCAATATTTATGAGCCCGTACACAAACAAAGCAATTAAATAAATATATATGACAATAAGCATATATGTGAGTTGAGAGATAAATATGATGATTATGTGCAGTGAATCCTATTGTTGATACGACAAATATTTATGGTGCTCACATATATTGAGGGGTGAGGATGACTGATGTAATGACACCATATAGGTTGAGGTACAAGGACGATCGATATTTATAGCGCTCACCTAAATTGAGGGGTGAGGACAACCAATGTTTGTAGCACTCACCTAGGTTGAGGGGCGAGAACTACCGATGTTTTTTTATGAAAACATTTCAAGTATCCACATGTAGAGAGAATTCTTATATGATACTTGTTAAAAAAAAAGGCATCGTGCCATGAAATTGTTAAGTAAAACGAAAGAAATTGATAAGTGAATGTGGTCTTTCAAAAAGTTAGGAAAATCTATGGTAATCTGATTGTGACTGTGATGTGATATGAATATGTGATAATCAGTGAGTGGTACTTCAGTTAAGTTAGTAGTTATGTGAATATGCTTTTTAAATATTTGTGATTTCAAAAAACCATATGTAAGTGATGAAATATTGGAATATGTGAAGGTAAAATAAGCAGTTTATGAGAATATAAAGCACTGTGTGATATGTGAAGGTAAAATAAGCAGTTTATGAGAATATAAAGCACTGTGTGATATGTGAAATTATTGTGCTTGAGATTTTGGTTTAAATAAAATTTATATATGTTTTATAAATATGGTATGATGAGTGTATGCATGTCTTTGTTATGGGCACTGTCACTTTTCTTATTTAGCACGTAAAGTTCACCCCAATTCACATCTCCCTCAATGCAGATTAGTTCAAATTAAAAGCACGTTCAAGGTCAAAAAAAAATTCTGAATGAACCTTTAGCAACTTTAGGAATATTGTTTTGTAAAATAGATATAATTATATTATAGCAATATAAAGACTTTTGGTGAGCCTCATGATTTGTAGCTCCATACAGGGATATATGATTAAATTTTAAATTTTAGAATATTGCTTCGCAAATTTATCAAGTTATATGCATGGATTAGGCGCATTTCTTGAAACCATCCCTTGTACATGAGGCTTAAGAATTTTAAAAAATTTAATACGATGAGAAAATTAGGAAAAATGCACCTTATGCAATATTTTGGAACTCCCTCCAAAACATATATGGAGATAAGAAAGAATCACTTTTTTTTTTAAAACATTAGAAGATAAGATCAGTGTGACACATTTAGAATCAAGGAATTAGGGCTTAACTCTAAAGCCAACTCTGGATAGTGAATAAGCAACAACCATAATCACTCATAGCCTATGAAACTATAGAAAACTTAAATGCTACCGAAGAAATCACCAAATAGGAGCAAATGAATAAACTAAGTTTTAGGAAGATAATGAATTTCCCTCGAGTTTGGGAAAGGAATCTTAAAGGGGGGAGGTCCCCCAAAGTGAGAGAAACATTCCTCAATCGGAGAAGATTTTCTAAACATGAGGAAATCTCCCAAGTTGGAGAAAAAAACTCCCAAGAGGGAGATAAATTTCTCCCAACCATGAGGAAAGTCCCCAGAGAAAAAAAAAATTTTCCCCCTTAGGTGAGAGAAAATCCTCTACACTAGAGGAAATCTTCCAAGCAGGGAAAAATTTTGCAATAGAAAATAATAATAATAAATAAATAAAAATTTTGAGCAAGAGAAAATTTTCCTAGAGGAAAAAAAATTTCCCATAGGCGTGCCTGGTGAGTAAGAAATGTTTTTAGTAAGTGGAACAAAGTATGTCTAACTAAGATTTCCCTAAGTCCACTACAGACTCAAAAAAAATACAATTCCTAAAATTAGTAGACTAAATATTAAAATATTTGAAAGATTGAGTAACCATTCGATATTTGAATAGATTTTGAGGTTTCTTATGATTTTTTTTCTTGTAAGAAAGAATATTCTACTTGACTAAAATTCCTATAGGGATGTTGTATAAGAAATGATAGTTTTGAAGCCCTTAGGCAATAATTCATCACATGTTCAATAAATAGAAAAAACAAACTTTTGTAGTTAAGGAGATAGAATATGCATTATCAGTACTCTAATTCTTGAAAGTCTTTATTCCTCCTAAATTAAGTTCCAAGTAATAAGGGAATGTCCTAGGGACATGTCCAGACCCTAAATCATTAATAATGTAATAAATAAACCTAGAATATCATTCTCTGATGCCAAAATGGAACATAAAAATGATGTAATATACCCAGATAAACCCTTAAAGCCAACACTGTCAAAGTGATGCAGAAAGCGTGGTGTGGACCCATGAACCACAACACATGAAAGCTTTCTCTTTGAACGAACAAAGAGCAATTATTGATGGGATAAACATGAGATTTACTTCCTAAGACTATACTTATAAACGATCACATAAAAACTGTGGAAACCAAAAGGGTATAATACCTATCCTCAAAAGAATAAAATAAAATCAAGTTTTCTCACTACTAACAAGGCTATTAAATGACCTTCCACCTAAAGTAAAGAACTCCTAATAATTATTGATAATAACTGTAGACTCCATAAACCACCATGTACATTCAAGAGAACTTTAGGAAAAATTAATCAAGTATTGAAGCAAAAAAAAAAAAAAAAGCGACAACCGTAGGTCTAATCTCCTATAAGATCGACCTTCGATTAGGATACTATAAATGAACTTCCCTTAAAGCAAAGTTTCTGAATATATTATGATTACTAGTAAAATTCAGACCATCTGAATTAATCTAACCAAATCTTCATTAGCCATTAACCATAACAACCTGTTCTCAACACATAATCGAACATCTTAAGAAAAAAGTTATACCTTACTAGAAACTCTTTACTGAAGGACCTTGTCCCACCTAAATTAAATTCCTAAAGAGATAGTATCTCTAGCAATATGTTCTAATAACAAACCCTTAATGTGAACACTCTTCGCATATCGTTTCCTTAGTGTGTTTGATATATGTACATTATACAAATATGTAAAATGGATCCTTAAAGTAGACACTCCCAAATTAAAATTTAAACACATAAAAAAAAATATTTTTCAAATCAACAAGGAATAAAAGAGAAGGCGACAAACCCACAAATCATATCCTACGGCCATACATAAAGAGTATTCACTTATAACATTGGGAAGCAAAGGTGAAGTACTTAACCCTGGGAGAATTGAAATAGGTAGAGAATGTAATCAATTTTAGCCAACTATTATATGACCCTTTTATCAAAGACTCTAATAATCTTCAGTAAAAAATATACATTCCATAATTGTTTACTTAGAAAGACATTGAAAAAAAAAAGAAGAAGAAGGGCCAAGTACTAAGGTGTCTTGGAAATCATCCAAACCTTGATGGGGTAGAGATACAACTTGATTCAACTAAGAGTAACTTGTTGAGGGATCAAACCCATTAAATAAAAAAGAGGAAGTTTCGATACTAGTACATTTTTAAAATTTCCAAAGGTAACTTTCAAAAGTTATAAAACAAATGATTTGACTTAGAGATATAAACCTTGAGAAAATGTAAACATACCACAATGTTGAGGTTATTTAGATAATTAAGAACTCATCCTTGTGAGAAATAGAAAATGTGAGATATATTAAGGGACTTTTTGGAATGATGACCAAACATGTCATGATATGACCGAATAATGTTAAATGGTAATGACAATCACTCGAGTTGTTACTAGGAGATATTAGACATTAATGAAATTGAGAAAACCAACATAAACCAAGATGATATTCCCTTATATAAATAAAATATTATAACTCTAACATTCCATTAAACAAGTCATTGAGAAGTCAATACGGATAACAATTTCTAAACCTCTTATAAGAAGAAGAAGAAGAAAAAGAAAAAGAAAAAGAAGACAACGACAATCTAAGCACAATGACCGATAACACAACTTCGCCGATTTACAACATTTTTCGACGTGGTTTCACCAAATCCATGCCAGATTTGGGCGTGCGAGTGATTTTGCGGAGACCTCGATCAGTTCATAGTGGCAAACAATAATGTTGACAGTAGCGCGTGGTGGTCCGACAAGTCGCACACGTCTGGGCGCATGGCGGTGCGTGGAGGCGCATGGAGATGCTAAAGGCACGTACAAAACAAATGGTGGCTCATTGAGTGATAAAATATTTTTATTCCCTTTATATCCTCATTAATTTTTATTAATTACATTCATACCCTTTACTCATCTTCTACTTATCCCTTTTCTATATATTTTTATTAATTATTTAATTATATATATTTTTCTATATATACATTTATTTAATTATATATATTCATATATTTATATTTATATAATTATATATATTTGTCTTTTTTTTCATTTATTATTACATGCAATAAATTATATACAAAACATGTAATTTGATCAAATATATAATCTATCAATCCAAATAAAAACAGCTGTTATTATATCATACATTAATGAACCACCCTAAAAATTATTCAAATAAGCTCTTAAAATCTTTAGCTTAATCATACTGAAAATTACAAAACATAGAGCTACTTGCCCGAAGTGGCCTCAAACTTGTTATCAAGTTTGAGCAATTAATTAGTGTTGGATCAAGCTCTTAGTATGAGCTACTTTTCTAGGTTGACTTTTGGTTGGTTCTTAATCTTGGTTTTCTTAATTCTCAAAATAAAGTTCTTAAATGTGCTATGAAACTTTAATTTTCCTATTCCTTTTAATTTGGGGAAAAATGAAGGAAAAGTAAATGACTTAAAAATTTTAGGTACAAATTTCTTTGCTATCATTATATTGATAAAAGTTGTCATTGATTATTTTCTTGCAATATTATTTCCTTTTCTTTATAAAAATAATCAAAATAAAATACTTTAATTCGTTTATTCTTCAATTTTTAGTAATCCAAACAAAGAAGTATTTTTCATTTAATTTCCAATAAAAATCACTCATTTTCTTTCATTTTTTTAATTCTTCTCGAATATTAGAGAAAAATAATTATAATCTTGAAAAAATCTTTTACTTTACTTAACCCTTTATGGATCTTAGGTAAGTAGCATCAATGGTATAGTTGCTTACAGTTGAGCCCAATCCCAAAGAGAAAGGAGAAAACTTCTTGAGTTTTTGAGAATCATCCTCTAAAAAAGTTTCAAATCAAAACCCTCTTAGATCTATTTCCATCTCCTTTACCTCAAGTTTCATTCAAGTCTGCAGCCATGGTGACCATCTGCTTCCTTTCTCCCTTCAAACCCATCTCCTACTTACCAACCACTTCCATTTCCTCATCCCCAATCAACCCTAAACCCTCCACTCTCAAATGTAAAGCTTCTCTTCCAACCCTCGTCACCACCGAACCAGACCCTGTATTTACCTCCGTCAAGGCATTCGCACCCGCCACCGTCGCGAACCTCGGTCCGGGCTTCGACTTCCTGGGTTGTGCAGTTGATGGCCTTGGCGACCATGTCACCGTCCGAGTTGATCCCGCCGTTCGCCCTGGAGAGATCTCAATCGCCGATATCATTGGTCCGGGAAAGCTCAGCACCAACCCACTATGGAACTGCGCTGGCATCGCCGCCATCTCCGTTATGAAGATGCTCCAGATTCGATCCGTCGGCCTCTCTCTCTCTCTTGAAAAAGGCCTCCCGTTAGGTAGCGGGCTCGGATCCAGCGCCGCCAGCGCCGCCGCCGCCGCCGTTGCCGTCAACGAGATCTTCGGAAAGAAATTAACCTCTCAAGAGTTGGTCCTCGCGGGACTAGAATCCGAAGCCAAGGTTTCCGGATACCACGCAGACAACATCGCTCCCGCAATAATGGGAGGGTTTGTTCTGATCAGAAGCTATGACCCACTAGAACTGAAACCGCTAAAATTTCCATCCGATAAAGATCTGTTGTTCGTGCTGGTGAGTCCAGAATTCGAGGCTCCGACTAAGAAGATGCGTGAAGCGTTGCCTTTGGAGATCGGGATGGTGCACCATGTTTGGAACAGCAGCCAGGCGGGGGCGCTGGTGGCGGCGGTGCTGGAAGGAAACGTGGCTGAGTTGGGAAAGGCGTTGTCGTCAGATAAGGTGGTGGAGCCGAATAGGGCGCCATTGATACCGGGAATGGA